CTCATTTTTGGTCCAGGGAGCTTACATATATATATCCCTAGTAGTCAGCTCATGTAGTTAGCATGGCAACGTGCACAGTCATAAACAAAAGTTTGGATGTCGCTGGTCAAATTACATGTTTTGTTGATTTTCTAAGTTAAAATAGAAGAAGTAAAAAGAAATAAAATGTTAATATTTTCCAGTGAGTTAAACTCAGCAGATAAACTGGTATTGTGTATTAAAATGTGCAGAAATGTGTTTTGACTAGGGTTGCACGAACTTTTGCATCCGACTCTAAGGTACACTTTACCGTATTGGTGTTTATTGTACGGTTGGTACACAGCGGTGGTCTGTTTTTGTTTACCCATTTTAATTTTCTCCTACTTTACTTTTTTTTTATATATATATTTTTTCTTATATATATTTTTCCTTTCTTTTTATTTTGTCATGAAAAGTCACTCAGTCACAGTGGGAAAGCTGTTGATTCATTGTTGCACATGCAGTTGTTTTGTTGTGACCTGGATTTCTGGAGGAAAAAAAAAAAGCAAAGCCATTTATGAAAGGATTCAGTTACCCCCCTCCCCAGCCCCGGGGTAAGAAGACACACAGTCGGACACTGTAAGCACCACCCCCCGTTTGGGATGGGCTGAAAGTGATGGCGTGATGTGGCATGTTTTACACACCTCACCGACTGCCTGCTATCTGCTTTACTCCTCATGCACATTCCACCATCACCTCACTCACTGGGTCCTCTGTAGTACGGAGACGTTCATAAGGCTGTGGCCGAGTAGCAGAGGTTTTATAATGATTTAGTTACATTATTTTTTATTTAATCACTATTTTTGTTTCCTTCATCATCATTTGTCATCATTTGTTAAAGGGCAAATCCACCAATCTTTCATAATTTCTGCATAATTCAGTGTTTGAGATGTAACCAGAGTCATTCAGAGTGGTTTCGTGTGAAATGGTTCTGATATCTTTACAGTGGTGGTGATAGGAGCCAAGGGTTACCATGACTACAACACAAATATAGACATTTTATTTACTATCCAAAACCACCAGTGAACCTACACGTCTTCTGGGTTTTATATGGAATGTTGATGGTGAAATAGTGAAAAACCTGAAAAATAAGTTTTCTTTTAGGGACTATTTTGCCTCACAACACCCTGCATGTATGAATGGAGTCTAAAAACATATTTTAGGCCAAAACCTTGTCAAAAATATCATAACACAGTGTCTCAGACATGAGACTTTCTGTGAGGGAGCTTTTAGAGGCATTCAGACTTTGTATATCTCAACGATTTAATTATGCAGCAATTCTGAAAAATGGGTGGAACTCTCCTTTAATACTGTTGAATGTTTCTGAATGGCATCGTGTATATGCTCATTAATTAATAGTAAACCAGTCTTATTTATGAATCAGGCATGTTTAATATTATCTGTTAAGTTCTATGTTATATATTTAAAGGCTGTCAATGATTTCAATATTATTTTAATGTTTATTTCATGATTATAAAATAAACAAACAGAATAAACAAATGTATGAAATCATATTTTCTTCTTAAACGGCACTGCAGGTTACGCGAATGATGAAGATGAGTGATGAAGGGTGTCTCAGACCCAGAATCGGGACTAAAAGACATCCTGTAAACAAAATGAGACACTGGCCTAAAGCTAGAGGCTCAAAATATGTAGTTCATGATTAGCGTGGTTTTAGCAGAGAACCTGTAGAGAGGAGAATTACCACTGTGTAGTATCTTCCGGGTTTCTCAAACACTAGAGGGCGCTCCCGAGCGAGTCCAAAATGAATGGGTTGATATGGAGCACAATCATTTCCTGAACACAGAACAGCATAAAACATTTTAACACCGCTGTTATATTTTAAGAGCTTTTAAACTCGAGTTATAGGAGTTTAAAACGGCGCCTAATTTACGTTCATGACGTCAGTGAGTGCAAACAGAATGAGCTGCTCCGCTCGTCAACCAATCAGCACTCAGTAGCAGTAATTCTGACCAATCAGCACTCGGTAGCAATAATGCTGGGGTCCTGGGGCCGTATTACAGAAAATTCTTAAGTCTGAGATCTGCTTTGTTGTCATGGCAACTTAAAACTGAATTTAGGACAGAGGCCATTACGGAACAACAGTTCTTAAGTCTGTAATCTGATCTTATTTCCAGATAAGAAAATGGTTTTACAGAAACATCCTAAGTTGCCAAAATATCCTAAATATTTTCTTAACTGTAAGATGAACCCAGAGGGTGTAATTCTGCGCTACGGTAGAGCATTTCGATAAGGCAGCACAGCTGGTCAGAGCACCGCCACTGACTGCCTTAGTTTCGTGTAGCTTAGTGACATCAGATTGATGCACAGTAGCTTTAGCTCGCATGTAGCACTATTAGTGTTATAGCAAGCAAAGTTTATTTATAAAGCGCTTTTTACAACAGGTGTTGTCACAAAGCAGCTTTACAAAGAAATCAGCATTACAGAAAGAAATCCGGGTCCGAGCCCCCATGAGCGTCGCCAGTGGCAACAGTGGCAAGGAAAAACTTCCTAAGAGAAACAGGAAGAAACCTTGAGAGGAACCAAGACTCAGAAGGGGAACCCATCCTCCTCTGGTCCACACCGGATAGTAAACAGCATTAGTATAAAAGATTATAGTATAAAAACAGGGAAAACTACGGAGCCCTGCTGGTGACATCCTGTATAAATAAAAATAATGCGTGGCCACGACTTAGTAAGGCGTGGGAATGAGATGATTAAGTCGTGGCCATGACTTAGTAAGGTGTGGGAACGAGATCACGGCTTACTAAGTCGTGGCCACACATTAGGATCTCGTTCCCACGCTTTACTAAGTCGTGGCCACGACCTAATCATCTCATTCCCACGCCTTACTAAGTCGTGGCCACACATTATTTGTATTTATACAGGATGTCACCAGCAGGGCTCCGTAGAAAACAGGTGGAGCAAATGATTAATTTGATTAGTTTAGTTCACGCAGCAGCAGCAGCATCAGTGGGGTCAGGTTGTGAGGGTGAGGTTTGCACAGCGTTGTACAGCAAGAAGCTCAATGGTGGTCAAGCCGGTCCAGAGGGCTGGCAGCGGTGGCACCTGATCAAGGCAGAAGAGGCAGCAGCATCAGATGCACAGGATGGGCAGCTGTTCAACTCGGCAAAGAAAAGAAAGAAAGGAAAACACACAGAGAGTCAGTTCTGTAATGGGTGACTGATCACAGATTACAGTGTTAGCAGAGCAGCAGAGACTCTGGCTGGTATAGAACCGACAGGGAAAGCTCTTTAACGACCTCATGATTCGGAGGATCCAGTGGTATTCGGGAGAAAAGTGTTCACAGGACAGAACGTATCGGGTTCTGAACATTTTTTATTTAACACAGGGGGCGCTAGAGGCGATTTTTAGAAAACCCTATTCATTCTGTCCATAGAGAAATGGAGCTCAGACCTGGAGTTCCTAATATGGGCATACGAGCATGGAGCGGACTACAAAATGACGACACGACTCCAGTGGTCTGTTGAAAACGGTGCTTTGACTTGTGGGTTTTTTTTTCTAACAGCGTTTTAAAGCTCCAGACGCTGCAGACTCGACCTCCACCGTCCCGCTGATTACCTTCGTGTGTTAATGTTGATGAATTATTACAGTGATGGTGGTTCATCGCGCTTTAGTTTCATTTGACCCTGTTTACCTCAGTAACGGTAGCTAATGTTAACGTTAGCCGTCTGGCTAACTAACTTGATTACGTGTTTACGTTTCAGCTGTGTGTGTGGTTGGTTGCTAGGTAACAGACACAACAGTTGATTGTCGACTTCAATCGAGTACGTTAAGATTTCCTAACTTGAGAAAAGATAAGATGCTGTAAGATAAGATTCCTAAATTTAGATAAAATTTACTTCTGTAATACGAAAAATCGTATCCTGACCTGTCAGATCTTAAGTTAAGACAAAAAGATAAGACTTTTCTGTAGCTGCCCAAAACTCGTTTGCTGTGGAAAGAAGGAAACGTACAGGTGAGTTTTCTTTGCCTTTTTGGTAAAATGCATCCTTCTACTTTCTAAAATTAAAGGACAGTTCTGTTTAAGTGATTAGAAACTATTTTAACTCCTTGTTTTTAGCTGCTCTGTTCACCCCCATTCGTTGAGGACTCGCTCGCGGGCGCCCTCTGCTGTTTTGCAGTCATGTTTTAGATAGAATGGGGGAAACAGGAAAAGGCCAGGCTCCTCATAAACCGGCACTTATCTCAGTTTATATATATATATATATATATATATATATATATATATATATATATATATATATATATATATATATATATATATATATATATACACACACATATACATACATAAATGTAACTTTACTCACTCCAAACCAGATTTTCTCAAATTTGAAACAGAAGCTAAACAACACATAACTTCTGTTACCCTCTCCAAAAAAAAGCTGTCAAAGAATGACGTATATGATGGTATATGCACCTTATTTGTTTTTGTAAAAACACGCGTTCTTTCCTCTGGCTTTCTTTTTTTGTTTAAACTTCGTTGTTTAAATTTGTTAACCACATCTTTTGTTTATGCATTTTGTTATCTGACTTAACTATATCTGTTCTGCTTTAGACTGCTTTTGTACAAATGTAATTATTAATAAATAAATAAATAATAATAATAATAAAAAGTCACAGTTTGTATATCTAGGTGAAGTACACAGAAACACAAGCCAGTCCCTCCTTCACAATAAGAGTCCCTGTATAATAACTCCGCGAATACATGCTGTGGAAATAATAATCTGGTATTAACATTTCTGCAGTATGAATTACGACTGTTTTGGGGTCCAGACACACACATAGACGTTACAAGTGGGGGGGGAACAGAAAACCTAGGAAATTTAGACCATTTAAAATCAGCAACCACGCGCTTGATAGTGGACAGGCGAGCGAAAGCGCTTTAGCACAACCCAGTGGTCAAAGTGTGGCAGTGCATGCAGCGATCGCGCAGGCGGCCAGCAGGCGGCGCTCTGAGAGGAGCTCATCGCGGAAGCGGCTACAGGAAGAGAAGTGAGTCCCGGAGGCCCGGCGTTCAGATTTAGACGGTTTTCGTTCGCTGACTTTAATAAGGAGTCAAATATGTCGAAGAACACGGTGTCGGACCGCTTCAGGAAGGTGGACGTGGACGAGTATGACGAGAATAAGTTCGTGGACGAGGAGGAGGGCGGGGAGAACCAGCTGGGTCCGGACGAGGCTGAGGTGGACTCGCTGATCAGACAATATCCTTCAGAACCAGCCGCCCTGCGGCCGGGCAGTTCGCGCGCGCACCCGCGTGCTGTTTTGTGATGAAACGTGCTGTTTTGGCGCTGATCGGTGATTAAGCCGAGTCTCGCGCCTCTCCGTCCGCGGCTGTGATGGGTGTGGTAGCGGCAGTGGCTCCATTCATTTACCGTTCACCCCATTTCCCCGCAGCAGCGGCGGCAGCTTCCGCCCGCTGCGCCAACTCTGACTGCAAATGTGCAGAAATAGCGTCAGTGTAAAGTTAACCGGGCTACCTGCGGTCTAACGGAGCCCCTGAGCTGACCAGGTGATTATTTGTTAATAAGGCGTGGCCACGATTTACTATATTGAGGCGACGAGTTCATTGTAGTTACTCGTGGCCTCAATATTTTAATTTGTGGCCTCAGTATGTTAATGTGTGGCCTCGATATTTTAATTTGTGGACTTGCTGTTGTAATTTATGGCCTCAATATATTAATTTGTGGCCTCACTATATTAATTTGTGGCCTCACTATATTAATATGTGACCTCTGTATGAATTTGTGGCCTCAATATATTAATGTGTGGCCTCAATATTTTAACTTGTGGCCTTGCTATTGTAATTTATGGCCTCAATATATTAATTTGTGTCCTCACTATATTAATTTGTGGCCTTACTATGTTAATATGTGACCTCTGTATGAATTTGTGGCCTCAGTATATTAATTTGTGGCCTCAACATAGTTACTTGTGGCCTCAACATTCATTTGTGGCCTCAATATTTTAATGTGTGGCTTGTATATTAATTTGTGGTCTCAGTATATGAATATGTGGCTTTAATGTAGACATTTTTGGCCACACCGTATTAAAAATAATCACCGTGTCACCGTAGGAGCTCCGTAACTTAGACAGTGCAGCAGTGACTGGGCTGTAATAGTGAATGATTAGGTGTGTTGGATTAGATGTGTTAGATTAGATCTGTTGGATTAGATGTGTTAGATTAGATCTGTTGGATTAGATGTGTTAGATTAGATCTGTTGGATTAGATGTGTTAGATTAGATCTGTTGGATTAGATCTGTTAGATTAGATCTGTTAGATTAGATGTGTTTGGTGTAGTTTTTAAAGCTACAGTTGCTGTTAAAGTGGAGTTTTTTCCTGAGTGCTGCTCACAGGAAACCTGATGGGGGCGCTGCAGGCCGTGCTGAAGAACCCACCAATCAACACCAAGAACCAGAACGTGAAGGTGAGTCAGAGTTTAGGAACACCAGAGCCGCACTGCATGGCCAAAAGTTGTAAAGGCAATGGTTCTGTTTAGAACCAGGAGTTCTATATAGAACCATTTCATGCTTAAAGGGTTCTTTGCATGTAGAAATAGAACCATTGCTCTTACTTAAGAACCCTTGAAGATCCATCTTTTTTAGTGTGTATCTGCACAGCCCTTATATTGAATAGGTTCAGCTTCTTTGAAGGGGAATTCCACCAAATTTTTGAAAATATCTCCATAATGAAATCGTCGTAAACAGAGTCATTCAGAGTGGTTTGGTGTGAAATGGTTGGTTGTAGAGACTCAGATGTCTTTATGGTGGTGGTGATAGGAACCAGGGGTCGCCATGACTACAACACAAATATAGGCAGTTTATTTACTATCCAGAACCACCAGTGAACCTACAGGAGTCTTCTGAGTTTTATATGCAATGTTGATGATGGGAAAATAGTGGAAAATCTGAACATTTTCTTTGGGGACTATTTTATTTTACACCCTTGACCCTCTTCACTATAAATAAGTTTAAAAATATATTTTAGGCCAAAACCTGAAAAAAATAATAAAACAAGGTCTCAGACGTCAGACAAACACCCTGCATGTACTCCTCTGGCATAAATAAGATTTAAAAAAGTCAAAAACTATCAGAAAACAGTGTCTCAGTCATCAGGCAGTGTATTAATAACCAGTTCATGTAGTAACTCTCTGTGAGGGAGCTTTTAGAGGTGGACGTCTGGTTCCTATCACCACCACTGTGAACAGCTCTGACTCAGTAAGTTTCTCTAAAAATAGGTTTTCGGCCCACAGTGTCACAGCAGCAGTGCGAAACAGAGCCTGACAGCAGACATCTTATTCACAACTTATATATATATATATATCTCGCTGTTGTCTGAAGAAAACCTCGTATCTCCAAAATGGTAACTTTACAGGAGAAGGAAAAAAACCTACTTTACTTTTAATGTAAGTCAAAGGAACCAGAGTTTTTTTCAGGTCAGTTTGGGTCGTTTCTTTTGGTACATTCTTCGTGAAATGTACACACAATGTAAAGGACAGCAGGCATTTTCAAACTATGTCAAAAACTGAAAAACAACATAAATGGAGATACAAGCTTTTCTTCTGACAGCAGTGAAATGTAAAATATAACGGTTATAGAGCACAGGAGCTGGATTACTACACTAAATGAAGCCCTGCAGCAATAAATGTTAGATTTCACTGTAATGCTAATCTGGGAATGATTCCTGTATCGGTGCATCCCCAACACTCAGTCAGTTTTCTGGTAACTCATTTTACCTGTTACCTGTAGGTTCATGTCACATGGTCAGTGTAACTGTACCTCGTGTGTTTGTGTGCAGGACCGAGCTGAGGGTCTGGTGCTGAAAGTACTCACAGCCTTTAAGAGCAGTGATATAGAGAAGGCGGTGCAGTCTCTGGATAAGAACAAAGTGGACCTCCTGATGAAGTACATCTACAAAGGCTTCGAGCGGCCCTCGGAGAACAGCAGTGCGGTTCTGCTGCAGTGGCACGAAAAGGTAATATTTTATTCATAATCTTCAGCGTCACATGAGCGCAGCTTCCTCAGCAGCGAAAGCTGAAACAGAGGAACAGCAGAGCGACTTTGCTCACTCCTTCACTGAGGACACACCCTGAGGGCCTCACGAAAGTGTATAGCACATAGATAACAGTACGTCAGAGGTGTTGAGATTAGAGAACAAAAAAAAACTGCGTTTAAGCTGCCTGTCTGAACATTGCATTAGTTTTAGACCTTATTATTGAATGTGGTTCTTTGTCTGTTGCAACTTATTAAGCCTCAGAAACTTGCCTTGTTAGCTGATTTGAGCACGACAAAAAATCTATATATATATCGCTGTTGTCGGATTAAAAACTCGTATCTCCAAATTAGTAACTTTACAGGAGAAGGAAAAAACCTACTTTACTTTTAATGTAAGTCAATGGAACCAGACTTTTCTTCCAAGTCATTTTGGGCCGTTTCTTTTGGTCCATTCTTCATGAAATTAACACACAGTGTAAAGGACAACGGGTATTTTCTAATTATGTCAAGAACTGAAAAATTACAAGGTTTTGTTCTGACAGGAGCTGTGTGTGTGTGTGTGTGTGTGTGTGTGTATCATCGCTGTCCAAAGAAAAACATGTCTCTCTATTTTTGTCAAATTTTAATTTTCTGCATTATTTGAACATGGTGACTGTCTTTTACATCGTGTGAAAATTTCATGATGAATGAGCCAATAGGAATCCTCTAAAATTACTTGGAATAAATATCTTCACACTGACTTGCATTAAAAGTTAAGAATGTTTTTGCTCTCTCCTGTCAAGTTACCATTTTATCTATCTATCTATCTATCTATCTATCTATATATATATATATATATATATATATATATATATATATATATATATATATATATATATATATGTGTGTGTGTGTGTGTGTGTGTGTGTGTATGTACACATGTCAAAAAGCCACATTAAATCTGACTTTTTTCAGTCATACTCAAGCCTCCTTGTAAGTGATTTGAAATCCGATTCCACCTGCATGTGACTTAATTTGAGTGGTCAGGTTGGATTTCATGTGATTCTCATTCAGAGCGCAGCAGTTCATGACATCAGTGTGTGACAAGAAAGTCAGCGATGCATATTTAAACGGACATTTAGGTACCATATTTTTTACTTCGTATCTTGTTTCACAGCGACAAAGCCCGTCTCTGAATATCGCTGCAGCCCTGAGCTTATTAGCAGTCTGTTGACCTGGTCAAGCTTCACTAATGTCACATTCTGTTCATGCTGTTGTTGTGAACACTGTTGTGAAATATACACTAAAAACTAAAAATAGCACATTCTGTCTCTAACTGGACACGTCGGCGTGTTCAGTTGGAGACGCATTCGGAGATACTTTTAACACAGAACGTGTTAAATAAGAAAACAATGACGGTGTTAAAACAGGTGACACAAGTAAGTGCTGTTTGCTAGTTATCATCAAGTTTTGACCCCACTGGTCAGCGTATGCATAGGTGCACAGTTACTACGGCAACCACTGTAGATATGTGAGCAAGTGCGACTGCAGTCTGACCGTCCAAATCGGATTTCGTTACTCGAAATCTGAACAGTCAGACTGAAAAGTCAGATATAAGAAATCTGGTTTTGCCTGCAGTGTGAACACAGGCTAAATTTTATGTATCAAGAAAACGTCTTTAAGTATCGTGATGTTGTATTTTGTCATATCACCCACTCCTGGATGCGTCTAGGGCCCAGTCCCATCTCTTATTTTTACCCCTACCCTTGTTTTTGAGTTTTCACTTTGTCCCTTGTAGCTGAGTTACAGGTTTTAGTGGTTGAAATCTTCCCTATGAAATGAAACCCTCAAATAAAAAGAGCATCACTTCATTAACAGCTACTAGTGCTGCTCTGTAGGCGACCCTGCCAGTCTGCAGTGACAGCAGAGGAGGGTAAAGTTCAGCTCCTCACTGCTGGGCTTTAGTTACATTTAGGGCATCATATGCCTTTATCACCCACCCCTAATTCTTCAGTGATATGAAGCTGAAGTCAGATATTCACCAGCTTCTTGTTCGAATTTTCCCGTTCCACCTTAAATGTGGGTAGTAGTTCTGATGCCTGAGGTGCCAGACTGTAACTGCTGCACCATTTAAGGTGGAACGGGAAAGTTAGCTAGCAGTTTCCGAGACATCAGCATAATACTAGCAATTTTTATGCTTGTTATGAAGAAAAGGACCATAACACACTGAAATTACGTTAAACTAAGATAATAAAATGGTTATTGTAATTTTGTAACAGAGAAAATTCTCACATTTGTGGGTTTCTTTGGTCTCTTGCTCAGCCATGTAGCCCTACCCCTCTATCTCAACAACAATCAGGACACCCTACCCCTAGACATGAACACTCAAAACGTAGGGGAAGGGCTAAGTGGTAGGGGCGAAGGGTGAAATTGGGACTGAACCTAAGTGCTCTTTCTGTCTTTGTTCTTAGGCTCTCTCAGCAGGCGGCGTGGGCTCCATCGTCCGTGTGCTCACGGCCAGGAAAACCGTTTAAGCCCTCCTCACCCAAACCTCTTGGCAGCGCTGGCACAGGGATTGGCAGGCACAACCCCAGACAGCGCCTGGCACCCACCTACACTGTGGAGGACTTCCAGTCTAGCATCTCTCACTTTCCCTCTTTCTTCTCTCTTTTTATATTGCTTCTGTTCTGGGTTTCTTGCAGAGACGACAGACCACCGCTGCTCAGCTCATTGCGGTGGTCGTCTTCAGTGGACAGCTGTTTTTTTAACTCATCCACTGAGGAAGCTGTCTCTAACCCAGTGGACTGTTGAGGTGGCTTTAGGTTTATTATTATACAGTAGAATGTATGTGTTTTAGGCACGACTGTGGTCTTTTTGAAACAGTGTCATGTACAGTGATGTACTACACATTCTCTTCACCCCTCAAACTACTATCTGATGCAACTTACCAGCTTTCATTGGGTCACTTTTTCTTCTTTTTCCTCAAATCTGCAGGGCAACTTCACCCAAAAGCTCTAAAGAAGTGATTTCTCTCATTCAATTTACCTGCAACCACTTGCATGAAACATCTTACGTTATTCTTTTTAAATTAAACACATAATCGATGCATTTAAAACTGTAAATTTATATAAAAAGTGCTGAAACTTAGAGTCTAAAATTCATTGTACAAGATATTAAGACTGAAATTCACTGAAAGAACTTAACTCCAGCCCTTAGAAATGAACAGGCTGTTTTTTTTATTACTGTGCCTTTAAGACTGATATACGTAAATGAGCTCTGTTCTGATTGGCTGCACTGCAATGCCTCATTAAAGTCTGGCCTCAAACATTCCTTATAACTTCAGCATGAATTGGTGGCGCTAAACAGCTGAATGGGTGGACGTGTGTAATGTGACCTCATAAAAACAATGAATTCAAAACGATGTTTTTGCAGCTTAGTTTCAGTATACAGACTGCATGGACTTCAGAGTGGACAGTACATTTTGTTAATTCAGCAGTTCTTACATACTACACCAAAACTCTTGTTTATAAAGGTGAGGAAATTTCAGTTTCAGGTCCTTTAAAGACGTTTTATGCGACCACAGGTTTTTAAAGCAGGGTTTCTCAACAACTGGGGCGAGGACCACAAGTGGGCCACAACACACCCCTTGGTGGTCCTTGGACCTATACCGAGGTGGGGGCAGTGGTCTGTTGGGCACCTATGATGGCACTTTGTCATGAAAAATATATTGAAAAAATAATTGACCTAATAAAAAAAGATATAAAATGTTTTCGGGCGGTTAACAACATCAATACAATTAAATAATACAATATAATTTTTCCTTTGCCTCTAGAAAAACCTGACCTTTCAGTTGTCCACACCAATATTCTGCTGATATTCCATGTACATCATGCATTGCAAGAGTCGGCCCCCACAAATCGCTGTGTTGAAAATTTCCCAAAAATGACATTTCGACATTGAGGCTTCATGCTTTCTAGTGATAACCTGGCTGGTGGACGTTGAAGTGGAAAAGGTTGAGAACCTCAAAGGGTCTTTAAAGGACTACGGTTGCCTTTTTCTATTCTGTCTGCCACAGTCTGTACGTTCCGTCAGTCATCAATGACGATTATGTTTCCCTGTATCTAAAAAAGCATCACAAAGTCAAACTCGCAGCTTTCTTGTAACAGAAGCTGTTGGACAGTTGATAAATTAAACTGCCCAGTGGTTTCTATTAGAAAATTAGTTTTAATTTATAGGGAAATGTATCAGAATTCTGTACTAATTGGCCGTCAGTAGATGTAAAGCGCTGGATTATTCCTTTATGGTGCGTCTGAATGAGGGAAACGCTAGACTGTGCTGTGTTGTGGCCCTGCAGATTCCAATAAGAGCTTTATGTCTTTTGGTTTTATGCTGAATATCTTATTACGGGGCCCTGCTGGTCACATCCCGTATTAATAAAAAACTCTGCATGGGAATGAGATCGTAATGCGTGGCCACGACTTAGTAAGGCAAGGGAACGAGATCATGCCTTATTAAGCTGTGGTCAATGCTTAATTCTCATTACCACATCTTACCAAGTCATTATTTTTATTTAGAGGGGATGTGACCAGCGGGGCTCCGTAGCTTACAGACATTCATAACACATTCCAGATCTCCATCACAGCGGCTACACTTGGTGTAGTGCTCATTCTGCCTTAGCACTTCTTTCTGTTGGACAGTGCCCATTTTCCGAGGAACGTTACCTCAACCTTCTGCTGCACTCTCTGTACTTTCTGCCATAGCTGGACTTTGCTGACCACTTTTTTTCCCCTCTTCTTCAGACCAAGGTTTTGCTCAGATACCATCAAAGCAGCTACCTGATTCACTGTCCACTTTATTGGAAACACCTGCTTGTACTTCTGCTCACTGACTACTTCGTGAGCTCCATTTATTATCTAGGTCCACTATATAGGTGTACTATTACAGACTGTAGCCCCCCCCTTATTCATCATTGCTCAGTTTCTGACCACAGGAGCACTGCTGACCAGGTATTGGGGTGGTGCACGGTGTTGTTTTTGAACACATCAGTATCGCTTCCCACCCAAATATCCAGCCAGGAGCATCTTTGTGGTCAGAAACTGGTCATTGGTGAAGGGCTAGAGCAGTGGTCACCAACCCTGGTTCTCCAGATCTTCTTTCCAGTTGGATCTAGGTCCAACTACAGTTTGTAAAACTCGCTGCAGCTAATGAACAACTTCAGAAGGCCTTGTTTGGCTGGATGGGCAGGTTTGAACTGAACTCTTTAGGAAAGTAGATCTCCTGGAGGACGGCTGGTGACCACTTGGCTAGAAGATAGCCAGCACAAACAGCTAACTACACCAGCAAGGTGGAGATAGAAGGGAGGGGTTTCTAATAAAGTGGCAGGGAAGCGTACGCCATTCTCATCCTGCTTCTACAAACTCTTAAAAGAAAAAAGGGAACGCTTTCCTTGTGTTATGCTGCCAAAAATGATTTGATTTTGTGCCGTTTTTGCGCTTTAGGGCCTGTTTATCTAGGACCCAGGTCAAACCTCAACCCAGACTAAAAAAGCTTTTCAGTGTCAACTCACCATTGACGTCACAGTTTAGGCTTAACCTGGCCTGGAAACAGACCCTTCATGTTCATGACTGCTGGTTTAGGCTCATTCTTCGTTCGTCAGGATGGGAGAGACAGACTGATCCAAGACCAGCACTCATTTTTGATCAGTTGAGGCCTCTGAGTGTTGTACTGAATGACCATGATCTTCCGTATATGCTGATGACTTTCAAAGGCAGTCTGTTCTCATTAGACTGGTCAGCCTGGAACATTTAAGTTCAGGTTGCTCACGATTGGCCACTGTTTCAAGTATAGTAGATTTAGTGGCCGTCAAACAGGCCTGTTTCACACAGAATGAGCAGTTTTCCTTCACCTGCTGCACTGAATGCTGTAGCTGACCTGAGTTTGCATGTCAGTGGTGTCTCTCGCAGCCTCTCTGTGGCCCACCGAACAAGCCATACTTGATTTAACTGACCGAGGTGGCCACATCCAAGCGATAGTCCGTGTTTGAGAGTTTGCGGCGACGTGCATATCACTCATTTGATTAAGTGCAAATATAACGAACCAGTTTACCAGCTGCCTTATGAAATATTCCTTTTATAATGTGTGGTCCGTTTGGAAGCAATAAAAAAAAAACAAAAAAAAAAACTACGAAACTGATGTGAAACTGGTTTATTTTTCTGCAACAGCTCTGCGTAACAACAGCAATTGCATTAAGTGCTAAAAAAGAAAAATAAAAGACGACTTTTAGTGTAACACCTCTAAGGGAAGTGAATACAGGTAAATCATAACAAATGGAAGTTTAAAATCAAACAGGACAGTTCATAGCACCAATGAAGATCATTCCCCATTTAAACCTAACAGAACAGACACTGTTAATAGAGCAGCTATGAGCAAAGATTACAACATCTCTAGGATATATATAAGCTCATATAATGATTGCATAAACAAAGCAGGAAAGGTATAAAAACGTGTATTAGAGATGCACAAATCTGAATATGAATCATCAGATTTTTTGCTTCAACTGGCCTCATCATTTCATTTTGGCTGAACTTGGCATAAATAATGTCAGGTAAATGCACTCGCGCTGTATTTGAATGCTGCTGCTACAGCTGTACCAAAATACTGTGGTATAATTCTGCAAAATCCATTGTGCTGAAGAAGCAGCAGCCTCTTATTTTTGATGTAGCATTCATGTTACTTAAAAAGGCAACTTTAATTTGATAAAATCAGTTTGGCCTATTAAAAACCAAACAATGAGTGCGTTTACATGCACTTCATAATCCGATCATCAGATTTCTGCACTTATCTGATCATTTAAATGGTCATGTGAACAGCGCACTCCGACTTCATATATCAGAATCCGATCACAAGGTCTAGAAATCTAATAAAGAGCCTCAATTTTAGCTCAGTAGTCAGATTTCTCAGTGCATGTGAACTCTTACTCTGATTTCTTTCGGATTTCTCAGTCTGCGCATGAGGAAAAACAGACTGCAGTACCGGAAATAGGTGAGCAGCGTCGCCGCGAGACAAAGCAAAACACTTTTGGATGCACAACGAAATGAATGACAAATATTCTTCATCTTCTAGATGATGTATGTTCACATTTTCAGGTAAAGTGGCGTGTTTTTTTTAAAAAAAAGTCGCGCCATGAGGTTTGAGTTTTACATTACATTTACATCACGTTCTGAGTTTATTGGCTGGTTGTAAAGCAGAAATCTGATTACTGTCTGACTCATGTAGAACCGGAGTTTCCCCATTATCTGATTACTCGAGTGCATGTAAACACAATCAGATTACTGACGAAATCGGAATTTCTGCAGTTAACGGATTATTAAGTGCCTGTAAACACACTCAATGTTTTTTAATCACAACTTTGGCTAACAAAGTAAGCTACTGAGCTTTTCAATGGTCGTTAACACAGTGCAAGCTTCAGGTTAAAAAACATTAATAAAGGCTAATAAAAATCAGCCTCGGGCCAATATGGCGGTAAAGAATTCAGAATCGTCCATAGAAATTCATGATCGGTGCATCCCTAATGTCAGTCACTGTCGGAACAAAACCTTCTCTCTCCATATCAGCAACTTTACAGAAGAAGGAAAAAAAAAAAAAAACATCCTTAGCTTTCAACAGAAATGAACGTAACGATTTTAATACGTTACTTTGGACCATCTTCGTCGGTCCATTCGTCATGAAACTTTGATACAGTCTAAACAGCAGCTGGCATTTTCAAATTATTTGGGAAAAAAAAAACAAAAATGGAGGTTTTGTTCCAGCAGGGACGATGTGTCACTCACAATTTTACAATCATGAAAGGGAACGGCGTGAAAAATACAGGAAAAAAAACAAAGCACTGAGAAATACTCCAAGAAAAGAGAACTACGAGCGCAGAATGCAAACGTAACTGTTACAAGAGTCATTCTTTTAAGGCCACAACTGATTTACAGTTGAAAGATGGTTAAGAACATTAACAGGATTTCGCATGCAAACTGGAGTCTTTGTGGCACTCAGTAACTGAGCTGGTTGGTCCTCTGACTGATGAAACACTTGTGTAGCAGTTGGCAAAGTGGCTGCATCTCCACAGTATCATGAAACGTCTAACGAATCGTTTTGGGCTCTCCATCTTTGCCCATAATGGTCAGTATAAAAGCAGGACTTCTCAGTCTGCCAGATGACTAAAGCCTCTCCAGTAGAAGAGCTTATGAGGGACGTTTGGCTTTGATCATCCAGATCGGTGAGAAAGCCCGCTTTGTGGAGCAACCCTCAGGTAGGGGTGGTCAATATGACGATATGATATCGTTTTCACGATAAAAGGTCAGCATATTGTAGGTATCACCAATACTTGAAGACAGAAGTACTTCATTTAAGGTCAATTCCACCGATTGGTCAAAATTTCTGCATAAACAAATGGCTAAGGTGTAAACAAAGTCATTCAGAGTGGTTTCATAAGAAAAGCTGCGTTCTGGGTCAGACATATTCACAGTGGTGGTGATAGGAACCAGACGTCCACCTCTAAAAGCTCCCTCACAGAAAGCGTTTACACAGAATGGCCATGAATACGCTGCCCAATGCCTGAGAAACTGGTTTTACAATACTTCTGAGATTTAGTTTTGGCCTAAAATATAATTCTCTATTCCATTCATGATGCAGAGGTACATGCAGGGCATTATAAGTTGGTCTTATAAGAGGTAAATTTGCCTTATTTAACTTAATATTCCGTATAAAACCTGAAAAGACGTTCACTGGTGGTTCTGGATAGTAAATAAAGTGGCTGTATTTGTGTTGTAGTCTTTGTGACCCCTGGTTCCTCTCAGCACCACTGTAAAGACATCTGACTCAGTAGGTTTCTCGATCAACTACTTCTCATCAAAACACTCTGAATGACTTTGTTTACATCGTAACGACTCAATTACGCAGAAATTTGGAAAAAATCCTTGGATTTCATTAAAAAGAGAACAAAAAACTGTCCCATTTAGCTGCATTTCATGATGCACAGTTCATTGTACGTAGCTTTTTTGGTGCAGTGCATCTGTTCCAACGTATAAAACCCCAGAAAAGCCGTAATACAGTGATGCATATTCATGTGTCGCGAAAATGTCGTCAAGTACTGTGATGCTGTATTCCTACCACACTGCTCACCCTTACCCTCTTGGTTTCATTTCCTCTTGAAACTTCACATCATGATTAAGACAACTCGTGGTTTCCACCGTTTTCCTGCTCTTCGTTGGCCAAAACTCGTTTGGGGCGACCCTTGGGCCTGCCCTGGGACTTCTTCCTTGCTTTTGGGATGGAGTTTTCTTGCGCACCTTGAGTGGGAGGTGGCGGAGGAGGAGGAGGAGGAGGAGGAGGAGGAGCAGCTACAGAGCTGTGGTAGCGCAGGACGTGGCTTTTGAGGCTGACGTTGTGGGTGAAGCTCTTGTCGCAGAGCTTACACTTGTAGGGCTTTTCTCCCGTGTGGAGACGCATGTGGGACTTGAGATGGCCCTCCTGGGTGAAGGAGCGCTCGCACACCTCGCATCTGAAAGGCTTTATGCCGGAGTGGATCAGTTCGTGCCTCTCCAACCTGTCCAGGTGAGGGAAGCCCTTTCCGCACGTCTTGCACAAGTACTTCCAGGGGCCTCGGTGGGATCTCATGTGACGATTCCGCTTCACGATGTTGCGGAATTTCTCGGGGCAATCCGGGCACAGGTACGGCTTCTCCTCTTTCGGGTGGGTCTCCTCGTGCTCCAGTTTGGCGGGCCGGTTCCGGAAAGGCATCAGGCAGTACTTGCAGGGGTGCACCGTGTCGCCGTGAAGTTTCCGCGTATGCGCTTTCAGGCCCTTCTCGGTCCGGAACCTTTTGTCGCAGTTCGGACAGACGAGGTGCTTCGTCTTGTACTCGCACACGTGCTCTTTCTTGCCGTTCGCCTCGGTGGGTTTCACGTAGAAGACGCCGCACTCCTGACACAGCACGCGTTTGGTGGTGAGTCCGTGCTCCTCCTCGGCGTGAACCTGAAAGCTTTGGTAGTCGGTGAAGCGGACGAGCAGCTTGTCGAGGCAGCGAGTGCCCATGTTTTCGGCAGAGACGCACTGGGGACAGGCGAAGAGTTTTTGGTGGCGCAGTAACGAACACTGCAGTCTGGCTTCGGTGTCGCAGTCTTCACAGCCCACCACCGGCATGCTGCCATCGTTCTCCAGGCCGTCAGAGTCGTCGGACTCCTCCTCGTCCACGGACATTTCGGAGTTGTCGGAATCCTTGGCGGCTTCTTGCGAAGGGGGCTCCCACTCGTCTGAGCTGTTGTTCTTCTTGCTCTTGTACTTCTTCTTCTTCATGTCCTCTTCCTCTGGACTTTCAGAATCACTTAGTAAATCATCAGATGATAAGGTGACTTCCAGCTCCTCCTGGGAAAAGATTAAAGACAAACCTTATTTACAACGTTGGCCTGGCAAGCTCCAAAGCACACTTACTTTACGTCCATCAAAAACACGAACGCTTCCAACCTGGTGCGTTTTCTTTCATTACAGCACACAAGTGAAGTAAAACCTCCATAGAGATTCAATCAAATTACTCGATCTCACTTTTACAGCACTATATTTAAAATATTTTACTAAACTGAGATCTGGCGGTGTGGTAGTTTCAGAGCAGCTCCTGCGCTGTACTAACGATGTGTGGAGGAGAGACTTCTCTGACACAGAGGCAAAAAAAACAGACCTGCTGTTTGTGCTGTGAAGTCTTCAAGCTGCTGTAGAACTCTTTACAGACAACGGGAGCTACTATTCCCACCTGAATTAGCTACGTGAGGCAGCTGAGGCAGTGCAGACTGCACGCCTGGTGGGACTTGGATTAGGACCACTACACTTAACTACTTGAGAGATATGATAAACCAGCCTCTTACTGAAAATATAAAACAAAGCATTATCATGATCTCCACAAGACTTTCCTTTCTGAGGCATCAGAAAGGCACCGTTTTTTATTTCCGTGGCCGCAGGTGATGCAGTTTGTTGTGCTCTAAGTTGAGTTCATGCCTGCCATAAATTTCTATTGCTTTCAACTAAACCAGATATATAGAAAAATAACTGTTCTAAATTAAAGCATCCAAACTGTAAAATAGAAGACTGAATAGCAATGTAATTAATGAGAACTCGAGTATTTACTCGCACACACAAAATTATTTATATATATATATATATATATATATATATATATATATATATATATATATATATATATATATATACACACATACATACATACATACATACATACACACACACACACACACACACAAAATACACATTCTGTGTAGTAAAGCGACTTTAAAGCAGGCCTAAAGATGACGCTTCAACCAAAAGAAACTGCAGGATCTTCACACAGACATTTGAAGTTTAACCTTTTCTACATATCATGAGTGACATATGATCATGATGCACAGATTATGAGGCGTATGGCCATTTCTGATTTCTTTACGCCCTCATTATCACTGTGATGTAGGGCTACACATATTAGAAAATCTGACATTGCAATAGTTTTTTTTCGGCGATATATATTGCGATATGAAAATATACAGCAATTTTCACCAGATGACTTGTTCTATTTGAAAAGAATCATTCCACAGTGATTGGGCTGATTTTGTAGATTTTGTAGGGCATCTGCACAGAAAACACAAAATCATCCTTTCTTGAATTTTAAACGCTATACAAATGGTTTTAACACACCAAACAAAAGCAGGTGAGTGTGACTGCTCTTTTCTTTCTTACTCTTTTCTCTTTCATAAATGAGCAGCGCTTTCCCACACTATCAAAATCTAACGACATGTAGAGACGCTGACTTTCCTCCATTCCAATAAAAACCATTGACAGAGTGTAGACAGATGGTAGAATGCACAAAGCACAGACTGCACTGTTTAAATTTAAAAGTTAAATTTAGACTGATTTTTTATATACTTGATTCAGGTGATTCTGATTTAGTTTTGCTATAGTTTATTGCTGCTACTCTGCACATCCTTGGTTTTAAATTTTGACAAGAAAAAAAAGATCAGTTTTATTTTTCTTTTGTTTTCAAAGGAAAGTTCATTAAAACAGTAAATTTTTTAATCCATTTTTCATCTTTACTGTCTTGTTAGTTAGCAAATAGCAGCTATTTGACAGCTATTTGAGTTATTTGGCAATTAAGTGATTCATAATCCGAATAATCAATGATACGTTTCAATAATTGATAGAGCACTCGAGTATTAAATAGTCCCTATTCTGAACATCAGCGTAGCCTATTCGGTGATGAGAGCAGCACCATCTCTGCCACGTCCCTCGTGTCCCATTGTGTTAGCAAAGTATAACATCACGTTTCCTCACAAGTAAGAGCAAAACGTTCACACACTGTAGCTGTTAATCCATAAAATTCGCCGTTTCATTAAACTGTTGGTCTGTATATTTCATTCATGTGTTGAATCCTGAATAGTGATTTCAGTATTTGAACCATGCACGTCGCTGGGTGAGACCATGTTATTCTCCAGAACCTTTCATATGATGTACACTCAGACTTATGTTCACCAAATGTGCATGAGCGCTAAAGGAAATCAGACCATGAAGACAGCCGTACTTACATACGCTGGGTGCTCTGAGACCTCCACCTTGGGAGAGATTCCCACAGAGTGCAGAATCTAAAAACAAACAGAGGCCAAATTATAGAATTATACTTATATTACACAGAATTCAGTACTGGAGTAAGCTAGAGCCAGTTCTGATATTCTAGATCATCTCTAAAACCAATATAACTATAAAAAAAACACCACAGAAACTCAGCTTTCAGGAACTGACGGGACACTTCTGTTAAAATCAACACTGATATTAATTGTTGAGTGTTGTGGTGTGCAAACATCATGCCTGCCAACCACTGATACACAGATAATACTAATTTTTCACGCTTTATAGCTACCAAAACCACCAAAAACTCACATTAAAAATACTAAATACTATACTACTATATACACTAAATAAATACTACAACACTACATACTACTATACCAAAAATATGATTAATAAATTATACGCATAAACGTACCTATATTGTCGCAAACAAACAACAATGACGTCAATAAATAAAAACTCAATAACGTGGATCTCAAAGAGTAACGTTGCAGGAAAAGGCAAAAACTTTCTTAATTTTAACATAAATTAATAGAGATTTTATTCCATTTTGACACGTTCATACTGGTCCACTCATTATCACATTACCACCCAATGTAACACTGCTGTGTTCAAATGTAGCAGAAATAAAATACATACACACATACATATATATATATATATATACACATACATACATACACACACACACACACACACATACATATATATATATATATATATATATATATATACACACACACACATCATATATACATATATACACATAATATATACATATATATATATACACACACACACACACACACACACACACACACAGGTCAGTGTGCAGAGGTGCGTTAACTTATGTTAACTTATTTTCACTCAGAAAATCAACACAATGTGTTATTTAACCACATTTTTTGCACACAACTGTATGTATGTATGTATGTATGTATGTGTGTGTATGTGTGTGTACATTTATGTATATATAAAAAAGAAAGCAAGTAGTACTGCACAGGTTATTTCAGTAGGCTGGGGGAGAAGAACATCACAGAAACTCAGCTTTCAGAAACTGTCGAGTGAAACTCCTGTTAAAATCAACACTGCACACCACAGCTCTCAACAACTGATGTCAAGCATCATGTCTGCCAACCACCCATACACAGATCATAATCATTTACGCATCACAGCTACCAAAAACACCACAAACTGATATTCGCATAAATAAAAGTATATTACTACACTCAACCGATAAATGAACAGATAAGTAACTTCACAGGAGAACTGGAGCGTTCATACTGGTGCATTCACTATCACATTACCACCCATGTAACACTGTTGTGCACAAATGTGGCAGAAATAAAAACAAATATGTACATACACACATTCAAAAGACACCCCTGCATTAAACCGTGAGGAAGTCATCTTATTTTCACTTAAATCAACACATGTAATTTAACCAGTGCTGCCCAAACCTTTGCATGCGACTGTATGTGTATTTGTTTATTTGTATTAAACAGGACAACACGTCAAATTATAGAATCATACTTAGATAACAGGGGAATTACAACATGGTAGCTGAAACACAGTAAGCTAAAGCCGGTTCTCATATCCTTTAATATCTCTAAAAACAATATAACTATTAAAAACCACAAAACACCACAGAAACTCGCCTTTCAGGAACTGTCAAGTGAAACTTCTGTTAAAATCAACACGGCACACCACAGCACTCAACTACGAAGGTCAAACATCTATCTTCATCTTCTATCTTCTATCAGTGTCAACCACTGATACACAGATCATACTCATTTTTCATGCTTTATAGCTACCAAAAACACTGAGAACTGATATTAAAAATACTTAATACTATACTACTATATATTAAATATATACTACTATACTAATACTAAATACTACTATACTAAGGTACATGCATTAACACAACTATTTTGTCACAATCAAACTATAAACAAACAAATAAGTAAATAAATAAAAACCTGCATCTCAAATAGTAACTTTACAGAAGAAGGTAAAAACATTTTTTCTGGGGACTTTTTAATGTAAATTATTAGAGATTTAATTTAATTTGTGATCATTCGTATTGTCTGTTTATCATTCCATTACCCCCCAACGTAACATTGCTGTGTTCAAATGCTGCATAATCAGAAACAGAAATATATACAGACAGAAATATATACAGATATATACAAACTTGCTTTTCACTTAGAAAATCAAAACAAAGTGTAATTTGACCAAATTTTTGCATACAATTGTATGTGTGTGTGTACATATCACTTGTCGGAAGAAAACCTTGTATCTCCAAAATGGTAACTTTACAGGAGAAGGGAAAAATCTACTTTACTTTTAATGTAAGTCAATGGAACCAGAATTTTTTCAAAGTCATTTTGAGTCGTTTCATTTTAGTCCATTCATCACGAAATTTACACACAATGTACAGAGTAACAGGGCATTTTCAAATTATGTCAATAAACTTAATGTCAAAAATTAATATTTTATATATATTAGGCAGAACTGTACAGGTGATTTCAGCAGTCTGGAGGAGGAGTTTAAGGGGCACTCCAGCCAGACTGGGAAAAACCCCTTCTGATGATGCATCAAAAGGTGAGAGGAAGTTCTGATAAACGGCGAATGCTGTGGGGTGGATTTCTGAGCGAGGGCTGTTTGAAAACGTGTTTTCTATTCCTAGCAGTAACGTTCGCCATCTGGCTGTCCTCTGCGCTCGCGAGAGAAGGGAAAAAAGAAGCCCACACGTTTTAAACAGTTCCTGTACAGCCCCCAAAAGCAGCTTTTCAGAACTTCCTCCCACCTTTTGATACACCATTTTCCCCCCGGTCTGGCGGGAGTGTCCCTTTTGAGGGGAATTCCACCAATATTTCTAAATTTCTGCATAATACTATCGTTAAAACTTAAACAAAGTCGTTCAGAGTGGTTCGATGTGAAACCCAGCGGTGGTGATATGAAACAGATGTCTGGAAAGTGTAATGTCTCTTAAACATCCCTCACAGTTACTACAGGAAACGGTTATGAATACACTGCCTGATGTCGGAGACACTGATTTATGATAGTTTTAAGCAAGTTTTGCTCCAAAATGTACTTTTTAAAACCCATTCATTGTGGAGAGGTACATGCAGGGCGTTCCAAGTCAAAATAATTTATTTTATTTAATCTATTTTAAAATATTTATTTTTTTTAAATACCATATTCTTGATATAAACTGCAGAAAAACATCTGTAAACATAAGTAAATGTACAATGGTACTTCAATATATACACATCCTCTGTGTGTAAGTTTAAATGTACAGGCTGCCTGATGCATATGCTTCAAATATGTTCATATATTTATAGATATAAAACTCAAAACACATGCAGGTTCACTGGCGATTTTGGATAGTAAATAAAAAGGCTATTGCCTTGCAGACCCTTCAATCCTTGGGTACTATAACCACCACTGTAAAGAAATCATTTTTGGCAGGTTTCTCTACAATGAACCATTTCACACCAAACCCCTGTGAGTGATTTTGTTTATATCTCAATTATTGAAACGCACAGAAATTCAAAAATGCCACTGGAAATCCCCATTAAAGGCATCCAACACATTCACATTCACAACCGCAGTCACAAAGACCCCCAAAAGGTCTGTAGAGTACCTGTCAAAATCATCTCTGTTAGCACTTCTCAGAAAACGAAGGCGTTGGTAAATTAAGCACCACCCTGACCAAGCAACACTGAATGTGTTTTAATCTTTTAAAGAGGGTCTGTGGTCTGCAGGGCCCCAAAACACAACATAAAGGACAAAAATAACATGCACAGACCGGGAAATGTGGGCGGTACAGCGCACACTTAACGAAGATGGTTCCTCAAGGGTTCTTTAGTAAAGAGAATGGTTCCATTAGTTCTATATAAAACCATATGCATGCTTAAATCTCTCTCTGCACAGGGAAATGTTGATCTATATGGTCCTATAAAGAATCTTTAGGGAAATGGTTCTATGTAGCACCAAAAAGAGTTCTGCTATTGTTAAGATGTCAGGCTTGTAACAGAAGAACACTTTTGGTGTTACACAGAACTGTTTTAAAAGTTTCAATATAGAACCAAATACAACACGTTCTCCATCAATCTGAAGAACCATTTCACCATGCAAAGAACCCTAACAGCAGAACTACAATTTATGCATGAATATAGAATTGTATACATAATTCCCCATTCATTTATTTATATTTATATTTATATATATATATATATATATATATATATATATATATATATATATATACACATACACACCCACACACACACCTACATACATATATATATACATACATATATACATACATACACACCCACACACACATATACATACATATACACACACACACACATATTATACACTTACATACATATACACTATATATATACATATATATATATATATATATATATATATATATATATATATATATACACATACACACACACACACACACACTATGCATAAAACGGTCCTATACAGAATGCATGGCTCTAAAAAGAACCATTGCCTTTGCTAAAGAACCACTGAAATTGCTTTTTTAAGACGCGGCTTAAGTTCTTCTAATTTTCCCGTTCCACCTTAAATGCTGCAGCAGTTGAATTCAGGCGCGCCACGCGTTAAAACACATAACTGCTGCACCATTTAAGGTGGAACGGATGGATCTGAACGAGAAGCTGACTTCAGTTTGGCTCGTTTCAACGTACCTCAGGTTCCCTCGTCACGCCTGCTTTCTTTTTCCTGATCAATAAAGACGGGATGGCCGTTTTCTTTACCACAAGTTTGGGCCGACAGCCCATTAACTCGGCCTTCAGGTCCCTCTCGTAGTCCTCCGGTCTGAAGTGCTGGCTGCACACCCGCAGGTACACATAGTTCTTCTGCGGAGTGTTTACATCCCTGCCTATGGCCGCTAACCACTTCTTGCAGAGCTCGACGTCTTTTTCGGGAAAACGGTGAAAAATAACACCTTTGGCTCTCGCCTCCTCATATTTATCACACCCGGGGACGCTGCACTCCGCAGGCATTCTTCCACTACACTGTGTTTCAGACGGAGAGGGGAGAAAACCGCTGCCTCTCTCCGCCGCCAGCGAACAGCTCTAGCGTCGGCGCTAGCTTAGCAGCGCAGATGTGTGTGTCGGGCCCAGAGCACAGCAGTGATTTGATTGGTGGATCGCGGTACGGCTTGTGTGACGTATACGCGCTGTGCACGCTGGGCATTGTAGTTTCACGCCGAATAATTTATTTCAGAATCTTTATTTGCCAAGCACCAGGTGTACAAGGAATCTCTCTGGTGAAAGGTGTCAACATACAATTAAATCCAATAAAACGAGTACAGAAAAAGATATTGCATTCATAAAAAAGGGTTCTTTAGTAAAGAGAATGGTTCTATATCGTACCATGAACACTCAAAGAGGCCCTTGCATGATTAAAGATTTCTTTGCATGGTGAAAGCGTTCTTCAGATTGATGGAGAATGTGCTGTGTATGGTTCCATACAGCACTAAAAAGGGTTCTTCTATTGTTGTGATGTCAAGCTTGACACAATAGAAGAACCCTTTTTGGTGCTATACAGAACCTTTTTCAAAAAGGTTCTATACAGAACCATGCATAGCACATTCTACATCAATCTAAAGAACAAATTTCATGATGTAAAGAACCAGTTAATCATGCAAAGGGTTTTCTGAGGGTTCAGGGTTCTATACAGAACCATTTTCTTTACTAGAGAACCCCTGAAGAACCATCATTTTTAAGTGTGTAAATATAAACATAAAAAATAGCACATAAAACAAACTGCAAGTCATATGAAGGATATGCAATGGGAGACGGTACAAAGTACTGAAGTACTGAGGGACACATACCATATGTACAGCTATAAAAATTGAGAAACAAATGAAAATATAAACATTATTTTATAAAAACGTACATTGCAGCAAGTTAAAAGTGGAAGAAAATAGAATATTGAAATACTTCAGGGAAATTTCACAACACAAAATATTTATCACAAAAACACCAGAGAATTTTTACTTATTTCTAGTCCCTTATTTTTGAAATGAAAAACACACATTAACAATGAACACGAGAAGATGGACATCACAGACTGTCCAACCTGAGCCGGTTTAAGGTGAGTGTCGCCGCTTCTTATTTCTGTCATTTATTACAAAAATATCCACTGCAGAACACCAGAGGGCGCCTCTGGGTGAGACCCAAATGAATGTGGGTGAATGGAGCTAAGCAGCCCAAAATGAAGACAATTACATGTTTCTAACCACTTGTGCTGGAAATTCATTTCATTTTGGAGACAGAAGGACCAACAAAAAAAACTTTACCGCTACAGAGTGCTGAGTGGTTGGCATTACCACTACTGAATGCTGAGTGGTTGGCATTACCACTACTGAATGCTGAGTGGTTGGCATTTCTACTACAGAGCGCTGAGTGGTTGACATTACTGCTACTGAGTGCTGAGGTCTATAACGGGAGTTTAAAGACCCTCAAAAGTTTAACAGCTTTGTTTAAATATTTTACACTGTCTTGTGTTTAAAAAAAAACTGAATTTTTCTACATTAAATTAAACACTGACAATTTACAATTTTGCACAAGAACTCCACAGCAGGCCATTTGATTTGGACTCCCTTGAGAGCGCCCTCTAGTGTCTGACAAACCTGGAAAACAAAAGTGAGTGGCCACTTTCCTCACAAGAAACACTCTGGTACAAACCCAAAATTCAGTTATAATTGACACTACGGTCGCCTCCTCGTTTACCAGCTGAGATCACCTGTTAGTGGGCTTAATCGGATCTGCCCATTATAAACACTGGAGGTGCAGCAATGATGAATTATTACGATTGATTCCAAAATCTTTTCAGCCTACTTTTTTCTTAGCCCTTATATATATATATATATATATATATATATATATATATATATATATATATATATATATATATATATATATATATATATTTATTTATTTTTTTTTTTTTAAATACCTGAAGCTTACACTGTGAGCTAAATGAACACACAGAATACACCAGACTCAGTACTTTATCTTAGATCAATTTGCAACATATTTAAACAGACAGCTAACATTTCATAAAAATAATCACAAAATCAAATGGTACACCGAAAGCAAGAGATGACTGGCTATTTAGCAGAGTCACGTATGATTAAGCTACAGCACATTCAAACACAGCACAAGTTCACTTTCCTGCTCACAGTATTTACAGTATTTACATCACAGAACAGCAACACAATCAAAATAAACTGGCTGATGGCCGAGCCCATGTCTGGGCTCTAATTCCGAAAAGCAATCTGACGCGCTAACAGAAACTAGCATTATGCAAGAGATAGAAATCTGATGAGAAAATGCAAATTATGAAGCAAATTTCTTCATTAAAAACACCTCCCGCATTAAACAGCACGATATTCAGGGCGGGCATGAGTAGCAGCCAGGTTCAGAACTGTATTCACGTTGTATAACTGCATTAATTAATGCGGTCAAGAATTTCTATAACTTTTTTTTATAGAAATTAAGTGTTAACACCAATAACTGCCTTTTCACAAATTATTGTCCCGGAAGCCCAAAATCTCAACGCTGTGTCTGCGGAGCTTCATGCCAAGCGAACGCTGACTGTAGCTCTCTGTTAGTGTTGGGGGGCAGAATGAGACCCAAACAATCCCGACCCAAACCAGAACTAGAGCTGAAAGATCAATCGTTTTTATATATAAATCGCAATTTGAAAGAGTGCAAGAGCGTTAATTTTTATTATGTAATACGGCTTCAACAATGATGAGCTCAGACCCATCAGAACCAACAAAATACCCATGTTCTGTATGTGTGACATCATCACCACAACTAACTGGTAGTCAGCGTTCAAAGTGGATATTCTGGTCTTCTCAGGTAAAAATAGCAGATCCGGAAATTATTTATAGAAAATTTACTGCATTTAAGTCGCAATATTGGCCAGGAAAAACTGCAATTAGACATATTCCCTAAATCGTTCAGCCCAAACCAGAACTAGGCCAAAATCAATAGCAGCAGTTTGAGAATCAGCTGGCAGAACTAAGCAGACGTTAAGTAAGTATTAATTCTTGGAGAGAGTGCAAAACATTTGTTTTCTGCACATTTTGGTTTGGACGCTGCCCCCTAGTGCACATGTTCACATTACATTCAAGCGTGTTGGTAGACACCAACGCAAACACCTGCATAGTATTATCAGACTCCAGTCTGGAGCCTCGCCAGCACAGTTTAAGATTCCCTTCCAACACTTTCACTCCCTCTGGTTTGGAATCGCCCTTAAAAATGAGCCCACTTTACAGGGAACTGCTAGGGCGATTGGAATGCAGCTACTCTCTTTTCTTCTCGCTCGCTAAGTGTCTACAGATGTAGCAGATGATTGTGGCGCTCGCCGATTCGTCAGGCAGAAAGAACGACTGCTTGTAAGTGCAGCGACTGACTGCGTCGAGGCTCCTCCTCCCCTCCTCACCAATCTACCACCAGCCTGAGTGGACTTGGCCTGCTCTCTCCGTGGGTGGTAAACTGGTTATTGTAATATTCTACACCACAATGGCTGTGTAGTGCGCGACTGTGCTCCTCAAGCAATCCATCAGCCTTGAGGCTGTAGGGGGTGGGAGCCTGTTTTCTGTCAGAGTTCCGCCTTTGTTTATGTTAGAGAGTCGGAGTCGTCTGCTGTGTTTTTCTCTGGGAAGGCAAAATTTGTTTTTGCTTGGGGTTGGGAGTCGTTTATTGGGCTATGATCATCCTTGAAGCCTATGCTTTATGAATACAAGAAAATGGCTTTGAAACCAACATTTTTGTGCCCAGTGTAATTGGTTTGGCTGGCTGGAGGCGGTCGGGGTTTGAGTGGGGGAGATGACTTTTTATGCGCAGCCTACCTAGACGGGGTGTAGGAGATATAAACAAAGTCATTCGGAGTGGTTTGATGTGAAATGCGTCATTCCAGAGAAAATCGGAGACCCAGAATTGTTTACAGTTGTGGTGATGGGAACCAGACGTCTGAAAGGTTTAATGCTCCTAAAAGCTCCCTCAGAAAAAGCTATTACATGAAATGGGTGCAGATACACTGCCTGACCAGAACAGAATCACTTTACTGGCCAAGCACAACTGCATTTACAAGGAACTTTTGGTCTTGGTGGAATTCATAAAGGGGAAATACAGAATATAAGCAGTAAACAAACAGCCCAATACAAATAAACAGAAAGATAGCAAAACAGAAGGTGCCTATATATTGTATAATAAGTTACGATATACATATGCCTGGCATAAAAATGCAAAACGTACAGGCTGCCTGGTGCCTGAGACACTGTTTAAAGACAAATGTATTTTTTAAACCTATTTAAAGTGGAAGGGCACATGCAGGGTGTTGTGAGGCAAAATAGTCCTCAAAGAAAACTTATTATTTCAGATTTTCCACTATTTTACCATCAACATTCCATATAAAACTTCAAATCATGTCTGTGTGATTTAATAGCCGAGATATAAACAGTCATTCCAAGTGCTTTGACGTGAAATGCGTCATTCCAGAGGAAATCGGTAGAGCCAGAATTGTTTACAGTTGTGGTGATGGGAACCAGACGTCTGAAAGGTTTAATGCTTCTAAAAGCTCCCTCAGAAAAAGCTATTACATGAAATGGGTGTAGATACACTGCCTGACCAGAACAGAATCACTTTACTGGCCAAGCACAACTGCATTTACAAGGAATTTTTAGTCTTGGTGGAATTCATAAAGGGGAAATACAGAATATAAGCAGTAAACAAACAGCCCAAGACAAATAAACAGAAAGATAGCAAAACAGAAGGTACCTATATATTGTATAATAAGCTTTATGTGTGGGGAATATACATAAATAGATGCGGAGGAATATATCTAAAAAGATGCAAACTTGCAAGTGCATCAAAATATACACATGCCTGGTATGACAATCAAAATATACAGGCTGCCTGATGCCTGAGACACTGTTTAAAGATAGTTTTGGCTTAAAATGTATTTTTTAAACCCATTTAAAGTGGAAGGGCACATGCAGGGTGTTGTAAGGCAAAATAGTCCCCAAAGAAAACTTATTATTTCGGATTTTCCACTATTTTTCATCATCAGCATTCCATATAAACACCCACAAGACTCGTGTAGGTTCACTGGTTTTGGATGGTAAATAAAATGTCTATATTTGTGCTGTAGTCATGGCGACCCCTGATTCCTATCACCACCACTGTAAAGAAATCTG